GCTCTCTGCATTTTAAAAGACATTCGAGCTGGGCTTCGCTAAGATGCACGGCAGAACCGAGACTTGTAGGAAGGCACGAACCGTGGCCATGGGTCTTTGCATAGGAGTTTAGCAGGGCTGTGACACGTGGAGGAAGGCAGAAAGGTATCACTGGAGAGGCTGGAAAACAGGCAGATAAAGCACAGTGCTCATGCAGGAAGGAGTGGGTACAGAGGATATTATTAATTTTGATGGTTAGGTACCATGAGAACAAAGCAAGGGAGAAGAGCTGCACGGTCAGATTCACGGGCAAGCACTTGTAGCTGGCAGCTATAATTTGTGTGATTAGAAGAGAGGAGAGAAATAAAGATTTTAGGAAGCCATAGAGGGGAATGTCACCAGGTTGAGCATTTTTAAAGGATGGGGAAAATATTACAGCCAGAAATCCACAAAACCACCGCGGGACACACACACGCACACGCACACACACACACACACGCACACGCACGCACACACACACACGCACACACACGCACACATGCACACACACACACACGCACACGCACACGCACACACGCACACATGCACACACGCTGCGGGGCTTCAGGCCCATCTCCTGATGAGGGATCCGAGTTAAAGGCCAATATGTTCTTCTTCCTCCCCGACATTTTGAACTAGGTAATTATATTTTAAAACGACAGAGCAAAACACAAAATGAAACACATGAAAGTAAGCCATTTCAGAACTAAGGCTGTATGATTTATTGACATGAGCTACTAATACATGTTGTAGACAACTACATATATTTAACAACATATTAAGTGCAAGCTGGGTTTTTTTAGAGAACAGTTAATACAGTGTGTGATGTGAGCTCATACTGGTCGTTTATTAATCTATAGCTGCATATGCATCGTTAGAAAACTTTCCCACAAGTTTCCCATTTGCTGCTACAAAAGGCCAAGGAACTGAAATACCTCAGGTAACTTTTGAGCCATACCTAGCATAATCTGCCAGGAATCGCAGACAAAGAAGGCAGCTAATTTACAGCAGAGCAGGCACCAGCCAGGTGAAGAATCCCCAATTAATCATAAAGCAGGTACATCAGAAATAAGGAGGAAGGGTTTTTTTCTTTTTTTTTTTCTTCTTTTCTTGCAGGTTGTTAAATCACACATACTTAATACCCTCCCAGATGTCTTTCTCATGCTTTGCTATCTGAGAGGAACAAGACAGTAACAGCAGTAAGAAACTTGTCTCATGTCTCCCATGCGTTGTGTCTTGCATGCCCTTCTTTTTGTTAAGATGCTGAAATGTTTGTGCTGTATTAATAAAGTGCATTTAAAATTCATACTCCGTTAAGTGTTTTCTGACGAGACTGACACATGTTTATGAATTTGTGCAGCACACTACAATTTAAAAAAATGTGATCATAACCTCTTTTCGTGTTTCCCAGCTTCTGTGTACTTGGCTTTGCAACTTCAACGTCCTGTCCTAATCTTTCAGTGGGATTATCCAATTTCTCAACGACTCCAGCTTTCTGGAGGGCTAGAAGTAGAGGTGGACTCCTTGGGCAATGCAATGAATTCATAGGGGAAGGAGGTAGGACCGAAGCGCACTCTGACGACCATCAGGAACACGGGTGCCATAGCATTTTTCAAAGGACAAAAGAGTGAGGAAAAAGGACGCAGCCTTAGATAAACCAGAGACCTGTGACAGCTATTCGGAGAAAGCCTGGAGCACAAGACGGCAGCAAGCACGCGCACACTGCTCGAGGTGCCCCAGCGGGGCTGGCGGACAGGGCGGCCTTCCCGGGAGCCGGCGCTTCTTGGTGCTGGCGATACGGACACCTGCACACGCGCGGCTTGCCCAAACACAGGCAGTCAAAAGGCTAGAGCACAAATTTCCAAAGCTTATGGCAGATTCCTTGCCCCACTAGTTCCTTGAACATTTATTAATACCGCTCCTTAAAAGCAAAAAAAAAAAAAAAAAAAAAGCAATGAGAGGAAAATTGTTGCCATCGTTGGTGAACTGGACTACAAACATTGGTGGCTTGGCTTGGCTTCACAGCAGCATAATCAGTCCAGGTAAGAGAGAGCCACAAAAAGTAGACTAACTGTATTCATTTTTTTTTAATTGATGATTTCCAGGATCGCTCTGGACATGCAGAGTTAAAGTCTTCTATATAGGTGGTAAAAGTTATATGTATTTATTGGTTGCTTTAATGCATTATCATTATAATATAGACTCCACCTTTCTTTAACCTTTACAGAAGTAACTGTATAAGTGCAGCTGTCACGGTGCTGTCATTGTTACATGTAACTCATGCATTTCAAATATTCATGTACAGCATTTATCGCAAAGCAGAAAAGAGTGGCCTGTACAAAAATAACACCTTCATCCGAGGCTTTTAATCCTGAATTCCACACATCTTTGTAGCATTTTCTTCTATTATAAGCTCTTCTGCACATAATATATTTAATATGCTTCCCATGTGAAATGCATTCTTTAATGCTTACTGGTAAATAGGTATATAATTACCCTGACTCCTATCAGGGCTAATATATTTGACCAAACTTTCTGAAAAACAAAAATATATGTACATTATACAGCATATGGACTGAATGAGCATCCCTAGACACACTGCTCCAAGATTTGCAGAGATTAAAAAAGAAAACGAGAACGTACACTCAGCGATACTCCAGACAAGACGGCAGAGACAGACAGCAGCACAGAGGGAGGCCAGCGCACATGGACAGAGGACAGAATATAACCTGAATGATGAAGATCAGGTGGACAGGGGGAGGAAAACAAAAAACAATAGCTTCCAGTGCAGAAACTGGAGTGAAAAGCAGTGTGTACGTGGTCACGTTGTGATTTCGGGCAGGCAGTCGGGGGAACTGCTAACCTGAAGCTGTCCCAGTCCTCCTGGCGTCACGTAGGATGCAGCCAGCCTGACAACGGTGGGAAAAACGAGCAATGTTTGCGCTTTGTCCTCCCTTCCAGTCTGGTTCGTCCGTGAAGGGAGGGCTCCTTGGCTATTTCACAGTTCATTATTTGTCCAGTTTGGCCTTTGCGTTCGGCGCTTCTAGGCCTCGTCTGACCGCCTCGCTCCCGCGTGCGCGCACACATACACACAGCTGAACTTCTTAGCCTGAAGGCAACGGTGATCACCAGCTTCTTTGCTCGATTTGCTGCCCTTCAAAGCACTTTCTGAACGGCGCCGGCTTGCTCTACCCACGAGGGTGCAGAGTTAGCCTTAACGGCACCAAACTCCTAGCTCACGCGGGTACAGCACTTACCAAGTTCACATTGTAATACAAGAGTAAAGAGTCTCCATAAACACCGCATCCAAGATATGCATTGTGTTTACGTTGAGAAGGTTTAAAAACAAAAACCCTGAAGAATTTACATTTAGGTCTAACAGTGCTAAGTCGAGGTAATGTTGTCTTGTTACACAATATTCCTGGGTAGTGAAATTTGGTTTCCAGCAGTTTAATGTTGCATTTGTGATAGAAAGCAAGTTCCCACACATAGCCACGTGAAAGTCTTACTGGCAAACACTGTTCGGCGTTTTTCTATTAAGACAGGATGCAGTGGTCCTACTTTTCTCCGCTCTTAATTTAAAAAAAGAAAAACATTTCAAAACGGCCATCAGCAGCATGACATCTGTTTGTCTGTTTTCACACACAGTTTTTTTTTTTCTTTTTGTCCCAGGCCTTCTTGGACAGGTGAGAGTGTAGCACCGAGCGTCCCCGCTACACGTGGGATACTACCCACCTCTGCGCTCCCCTCATGTGAAGTATCGACACTGTGTAGAGTCAATGTAGCAGTAAGAAGTGCATCGTAATTTTCCGTAAGACCTACAATGAAAGAGAAAAACATCAGTTTCAAGATATGCTCTAGTTCACATTACGATACGGCTTGTGGATATAAAGCTCGGCAGGAATTAAGGCAATTCATGTAAAATGTTACACCAGAAAGTGTCAAGTGCAGCAACATTTGGCAACCGAAGCAAAGGGACAGTTTCCAGTTGTGCTCTGCTGCGCTCCCTTTTGTCAGCAAATCCTAATTCCCGCTAATGCCACTTAAAAAAAAAAATCCCCTTTGAAAGGAACTGCGCGTTGGCCGGGGTACGCGGAGGAGGAGACCTCGTCACTAGCTCCAGGCAGCTGTCAGTTCTCTGAGCGATCACCAGGTCCCAGACACTGAGATTTTGGTAAGCACTTAATTCCTGTAACTTCTACGGAAAATTCACAGGACTTGTGTAACCAGATATTTGAGGATCTGAATTACGCATTTTCCTGTAACTTCCTATCGCTTCAGTAGATGTGATTTTGCCTCTCCCTTGACTTATTTTACACATACGTGAAATAATGATAGTGCCACATGCCCACCACTGAAAGAATATCGAGTGAAATAAAAACATTAGATGCAAGTTTTACTTACAACGTGTGTGTGTATGGGGATACTTGCAGAATAAGGAAAAATTGAGATCTTTTTTATCTTTCCATTGACTTAAACTGAGCTGCAGTGAATTCTATGTACCAAACACCTGGCCAGAGATGTTAATAAAAAAAAGCAATTTTGATCAGTTTTTATTGCTGCCATATGTTCAAGTGAATAATGCATCCATTAGACAATCCACAAGCATAGCTCCTTTAAAATATGTCCTCGAATAACCCACATTCTCAGAAATCCAACACAAAATCTGAAGCAAGTGTGGGTGAAATACGAGGGAGGATTTCTGCGCTGGAAAGAGTAGAATATTGGAAGATCAGTTGTAGCAGGGTTACTGGAGGAAAGACTAATTTGGGATGAAACTCCCCTTCAAATACCAAGCTCACATATTTATTTCACTGTACTGATGACTCACCCTTTGTCTTTGCTTTTAGGAAATAATCTGGAGGCTGCATACACAAAAATAAAGGATCTCAGTTGTTCTTCAAAACCTGATTATACATGGAAAATGGAATGTAGAAAAACTTCTCATGTTTTTGTGGGACTCTTATTTTTGGCACCTAACTTCAGACTTTGAAAAGGAAACGTTTTTTACAGGCAGATAGCTCAACACTGTTTCAAGACGAGATCCCTTAAAAAAGTTTCAGCTTGTCAGGTTTGTCAGTCTCCACTTTAGTATAATCTCCCGCACCAGGAGTGCTCCAACAATTGCAATGGAAGGATTAGCACAGCTCTTGTTTTACAAAGCTGTCCTGCGGTTTCTTATTCCTGTCAATTAGCACATTATTCCTTCATGAATGATGAGGACTCTGCACATAATTTCATTTGCAAATTAAATGTTTCCTGTTAGCCAGTAACAATACCTGACAGTTAAATAGAGGTACTGCTGCTGGAGGCAAAATGCTGACCAGAGGAAGCTACTTACACAAACGCGGAGAAGGCAACTCAACAATAAGCAGATGTTTTACAGAAGGACATTGCAAAGCAGATATATGGCTTTGCATCTGCTGTTGAGTGAATTTCCTGGTCGTTGGAAAGGTTGGTGTGGTTGATTCACAAACAAAGATGCCCCTAGAGTACCCATTAAGGGATAAGAGCAAAAGGAGATTGATCTGTGCTTTTTTTTTTTTTTTTTCCATTTGATCATCGTGGTCCTTCCTCTTTTTGGTATGTTATGAGTGGACATTAATGTAATGATAACATTCCCCAAATGAGGAAATCTTTGCAAATAATGGTCAAATATATGCCCATATGATCTTCATTCATTTAGCACAATAGCAATCGTGTGCATATAAAGGATAGGTGAGAGTTAGCCCTTAAGGTCAATAATATACAGAAAGAATCTGACGGTCTTTCTTCCCCCTGCTCTCTTCAGCGGTCCCAGCTGAAAGAGGTTTGCTTGGGTAGTACTCTTCCCTTCTAATGCCAACAATGAAGCAAAAGACAGGTTCATACATACCCGGGGAGATACGTTTTACATGTCAAATACCCAAAATCCTTCCCATCACAGTCTTCAACCCCCTCATGCCTGTAGCCATCACCACAGTAAGCACGGTGGCAACCTAGTGAAAAATACAGAAGGATAGACCTTCATAACACAAGTGGGGCTAGATTTTTAAAGGCAGAGCATAAACAAGGCGTTGGGGAGGGGCATCCTGTAAGGACCTCTGTCTTAGGAGATGCAAGATTTTTCACTACAAAGAATATTCTTTCTTTAGCCTAATTTGGGTGACCAAGAAAATAAACGGATAACTGCTACAAATAATTACTATAGGAGCCATAATTACAACAATAGCAATTACAATAATTACTACTACTATAGATAATTACCATAGAAGCAAATCAAAGGAAAAAAATACACTGAACACAAACGATTTGGGGAGGTCACATTTTTAAAAAAACACTTCACAATCATTAAGTGGTTTGAAAATCCCAGGCTGGATCTTTACCCAACATTGCATAGTATCCCCATGTGTCTACTGCAAGTGAGTTCCCACATACAAGCAAGCTTATGCAGACCTATCGCCTCTTCAGCCAAAAAAAACAAAAAAGCATGTAGTGATTGTAAAAAACGTTTTTTTTTTCTCACTGGTTCTTATTGCCTTCAGTGTGAGTGGGGCCTGAGGCACTTTCTCATGGTGACTGGGGTGTGGGCTGCAGTAACTTGTGGCCTGTACTTAAACAATCAGACTTTGCTTTTGATGTCGCCAACTTTCTGAGTATGACTTTGTAAGTTGAGAACAAATTAATTTAGCTAAAATTCCTTTGACATCTCCTCAGAGGCATTTTTATTAAGCAGATTAAAAGCAAACTCAAGGACAGAAAGTTTGTAAGAATTAGAAGTGGGTCATTTACTAACCATGTATTTTTCTTAGAAATCTCAGGAATGATTCATTAATTGCATCAATGATCTCTCTATCAGAAACTGCTGCTTCTAAGGACAGTGAGCTCACTGTACAACTAAACCCACTTAACATTCAGTCAACCTTTTTCTTCTGAAAAGGGAATGACTAGCAGAGGCACATAGGTGCTCAGAAACACAAGGATGACCCAAGTGCTCATAGCGAGTAATTCGGTTATACCTCTTCAGGTCAAGCCACTTCAGCGTCAGAAGTTTACCTATTGCAAGGCCTCTATTCACTTGAAGATCTGCCCGGCACATAGCACGAAGTAACATGCTGGGCTTCCAGATGCATAACATACTATTTTGCAAGCGCTAGAACTAATGAGCACTGTTTTCCTGCATGTGTTTTTCTCATGGTTAACTGTAAATTCTCATCCAATTATTTTCTCATGCTTGGAGCCTCGGACACAACTCTATCTCGTTGGATTGCTCCTGAGGTGAGGCAAGCCTAGAGGGGATGTTTATTTATATGGCTTGCTCTCTATACCTGTTGCAACTGGATTGCTTTTGAAATCTCTTGTTTTCAAATGCAAAGTTGGCTAGCAATCCCTATGTTAGAAGGGGAAGGCTGGTGATGGACAGATGGGTAGACAAACCCATGTAGGCACACAGCCTGTCTACATACCTGTAATTTCCTTAGATAGATAGGCTAAAAAAAGGAGGGATATATAAATGAAAAAGAAAACTTGCATCTTTCAATGTTGGCTGATACTTGTTCTGCCAGGTGAAAAAAGTCCATTTGCTAAAACTGGTAAGAAAGCACTAAACCTGTTACGTGTCTGCCATAGATGGTACAGACTGTTGCTCTCTGGGGAAGAAACCAAGTGCTAAAAGCAAGGTAATTGTGATGAATTCTCATTTTGCACACTATAGCCATGGTGCCTCCCTCTCTCAAGCTCCCTCATACGGTACGCAATGCACGTGTGATGTACACGGCAGGGCACCCTGTGGAAATAACTAATGCACCTTCCACGTTGAAAGAGGATAAGGAGCGCTCCCAGGGAGCTATGACTTACTTATGCAGTCATCGGTCACAATCGCATTGCCGTCGTCGCACTCTTCTCCGGCCTGTACAATGCCGTCTCCGCAGGTGCCACCACCCTCTACGGGGTAACCCACAGGGTAGAAAGGGGTGAGCTGGCCAAACAAACACACGGTGGTTAACGGGGCAGCTCCGCCAGCCGCCTGGGAAACACCCGAAGGGGAAGAGCTGCCC